CTTCCGATCGGAACTCCTCCCTGAACCACCAGATCTCTCTCCTGCCGGCTGGAATCTTCCCCTGTAGAACATCCCGCCGTCGGACCTCAAAGCCCCTAGAACCGCCAGATCTCCCTCTTACCCGCTGGAATCATACATTACAAGCCCTCTTTTGCTGACAGCCAAGTAAGGGATCATCTCCTTCTATGTCTCGGTATCCAAACCTCACCTTTGGCTCCATCAAAGCCATGACAGATTCCTCCACCATCGAGCTTTCATCTGATGTTGTCCTTGATCCACCAGAGGATTGACACCTACCTCAATTCCTCCACAGATCGGAGGACATGAATACCACATGAATTTCCTCATTATCACCTACAAACTCAACGACTCCAATTTCCTTCAATGTTCTCAAACAGTTTCGTTGTTTGTCAAAGATCAGGATAAGTTCGGTCATTTCACAGGTATGATTTGTGAACCTCCAAAGACTGACCCAACATATGCAGTGTATGAAGTGTAGAACTTCATGTCATGGCTGATTAATTTCATGGAGACCTCGATTGGTCGTTTGTACCTATTTCTTCTGTTTGTAAGTGCCATATGAACTATCGTTCATGACATCTACTTAGATGTAGGTAATTCCAAACAACTCTGAAGTTTCTAGGATCCGTGATGCGAGACATGGATCAAAGAGGGTGACCCAGTACTACAACGACTTGGTTGTCTTATGGATGGAATGTGACCTCTACTATGACTACACTTATGACTCTCTTGCAGATCTTTCCCTGTTCCAAAAATTTTGGAAAAAGATCTTGTGTTCCAATTTCTGACATGCCTGAACATGCATCTCATTGAAGTCTGCGGCTGTATACTTTGTCGCGATCCCTTTCACCTGGGCAACATTCAACCCGAGCAACATTCAGTGAAATTTTTCATGAAGAAAGTCAGAGATTTGTCATGTTGGCAATTCTACTACATTAGCGAAGCCTTTAGCCTTGGTCTCCAACAATACCCTATGCTCTACCACGTTGTCGTGAGCCAATCACTCCACATGTGATTTTTATCATAAGCCATGTCTTGGAAGCTCCACGGGAAACCGACAAATAAGTCTTCGGCTAAACCTTACGCTGATAAAAGTCTCATTACAACATCAGAATCCACAACAATTCAATCGACCCCTACTTGGACTATCCCCGAATCAGTAGACTCCATCAACAGTGAGATGAAACACTTGATTAAGCTGCTTTGGGCTAGTCGGCTCTCCTCCAACCCATCAACCTCTCATGTTTGCCAAGGTAATATCTATATTACACTCGATAATTTTGCTTCTCTTAGCTTGTGAATTATTAGTTTAGTGTCATGGATCACATGAACGAGGTCCTCATTTATTCTCAACGTATTCTCTTTGCTTCAGGAGAGATATAATTAAAATTGCCGATGGCTCCTGTAATTCTATTGTAGGTAAAATGTCGGTTGTACTTGTAGTCGGACTTACTTTGGAATCCGTGTTTTATGTTCCTTTGCTTTAAGTGCAATCTCTTATCAATTAGTAAGTTAACATGTTATCTTGATTTGGTTCTCGTTTTTTCTCTGATATTTGTCATGATTGAAACTACTAACTAGACAACCACACTTTATTTTTTCAAGAAAATGACATAGATAACATTAACATTCAGTCTCGTAGTTGTAGTTTTTTCCCTTTTTACTACATGTCTAATTATGCTTTTACATTGGTGTTTAGGCCAGTTTTCATTATTTAAAGCATTTGTACTTCTTGATGTTTACTGATAAAAAATTATCCTCTTTTAAATGTGAAATTTGTCAATTAGTTAAATATTAATGTGTGTCATATCCACCCCATCCTAACACTCCTTTTTCGCTTATTCATAGTGATTTATAGGGGCTCTCTGGAGTGACGAGCTATACCAATAAAAGATGGTTTCTTACTCGAATTGATGATCATACTCGTATGTCTTGGGTCTATATTTTAAAAGATAAATCTGAAGTTGCGGCCATTTTTAAAAATTTCTACTCCATTTTAACCCAATTCAAAACAAATATTTAAACCCTTTGAACTGATAATGATCGTGAATACTTTAACTATATTAGGAGAATTCTTGATGAGTAAGGGCATTCTCCATCATAGTTCTTGTATGGGTTTCCCTCAACAAAGCGGGGTAGCCGAGTGGAAAAATAAATATCTTCTTGAAGTTACTCATTTCATTATTTTTCAAACGAATGTCCCTAAATGATTTTAGAATGATGTCATTCTCACCGCCAACTACCTCATCAATAGAGTTTCCCACAAAAATCTACAACTTTCAGACCCCATTATCCGTCTTGATGTCATAATTTTCTACCAACCGATCTTTCTCCACTTTAGACCCCAAAATTTTTGGGTGCACGACTTTTTTTGGAACACAAAACCAACTCATAGTAAACTTGATCTCTGCTTAATCAAATGTGTCTTCCTTGGCTATTCCGCCACTCAAAATGACTACCAGTGTCTGAATCATTCCCTTAATAACATCTATTTTAGAGTCAATATCTCTTTTTTTTTGAAAATGTCCTTTTCTTCCCTTAAACTACCTCAAGTGAGGGAAAGCTTGATTTTTTGGACATTGTTCATCTTCCAACTCCGTTGAGCATTCCTTTTACGATCACGTTGTTCGGTGCACCTTCAGCACCAATGGATTTGCCACCAGCCAGACCAACTTCACTACAACCCTCTAACTGGGTCTATACCCATCGTCCAAAACACTTTGTTGAAACTCATTCCAATGCCCCTATCATCGAGCCAACTGCTCCACTGCACATCTTGGAATCCGCTTTGGATGAAATCCTTGAAATGATGCCTTTTACACATATGGGGTCACTTCTAATCCAAGTGAAGATGTGAATCTCCCTACTGAGGTATGCAAATAGATACCATCAAAACTCTATATCCCATGATGAAATACATCTAGTTCTACAACTTGTCTCCAACTTATGAAGCATTTGCTACTTTGATGATGGATCATTGTCTCCCATCCAATAGAAAAGCTACTTTGGCTGAGCCATCCTGGAAGGCTGCTGTCAGGGACGAGATGAATGTTTTTCGGCACAACCATACTTGAGATGTGGTTGATCTTTCTCGAGGAAAGAAAGCGGTGAAGTGTCGGTGGATCTTTAGCATCAAGTTTAACTCATATAGTTCCTTTGAACACAATAAAACACGATTGGTCATTAAAGGATATTCTTAAACTTATGAAGTTGACTATGAAGAAATTTTTGTGCCAGTTGCCAAGCTAATTATCTTTTGGGTCCTATTATCACTAGCCGTGAATCTGGATTAACCCTTTCTTTAGCTGTATGACGAGAATGCTTTCCTTAATGGTGATTTCACTGAGAAGGTTTATATATCTCTCCCATCGGGATTTGAATCGACTTCTTCCCTTGGCGTGTTGATTGCAAAAGTTCCTCTACGGACTGAAGCAATCCCCACGGGCTTAGTTCGGCATGTTTACACAGGTGGTAGTGGGCTATGGGTTTTCTCAGGCCCAATCTAATAATGCACTATTTTTTCGACATTCATCTAGTGGCTGTGTTGCCATTCTCATCGTCCGTCGGCGATGTTGTGCTCATAGGTTGTGATTTGTCATTCTTAGAGTCTCTTAAAGGCAACCTTGCCACATGTTTTGAAACCTTGCCACATCTTTTGAAATGAAAGATTTTGGTTCTCTTTGGTATTTCTTAGGAATGAAAATAGCCCAGTCTTCCTGATACATGTCTTTTTCAGTGCAAATATGTGATGGACTTATGGACCGAGACCAACCTTATTTTTTGCAAATCAGTTTTTGGCCCAATAGGCCCAAATGAGAAATTATTAGACGTTCACAATACCGTTCCAGTGAACAAAAACCTACTAACAACGCCTCGTGGGTAAGCTC